TATTTCCATTGTTTGAGTAACTGTACACCACCCTGTGTGCAATGAGGCGTGCATAAGTATAATTACTTCACATTGTGCTCATGTTAACCAAAACTGGTTTTCTTTGTTATTTCACTCAAGAAGTAACTGTTAGGTCACAAATTAACTGTTGGATATAGCCCCAAAACTTCTAGAACTTTGATTGCAATTGCACAGAAAAAGACACATCTCCAAGGGTGATTTTTTCATGAATTGTTTTCAGATGAGTTCAAAGTTGAAAATTATCACTGCATCAAAATGCAATTTTCTGCACTTTCTGGGAAAATTGCTAATTTAAGAAATAATTTTGATTTAGTAGCTAAGTAATGCTACTTCAGGAAAGGTAGATAAAGCTATGTAGGTAATTCAAGCTACGTAGCTAAATCTAGTGATTGTACCAGACCTGATAGCAATTCTTTCTGTTTCTTCACAATAAAGAAAAACCTTTTTTTTTTTCGCTGTATTTTTCTATGTGCACACATTTAATGTACAAATTTAACAATACATCATGATGTAAAATCACCTTAAAAATGTAAACAACTAAATATAATGCCCTTCAACATTCAAGGAGCAAGTCCTGAAAAAATATTAATTAAAAAACCTCAACATTTATTAAAACGTAAAAAAAAAATATATCAAAAAACCTTCATCTTAATAAAAGTTTTGTTAAACCATGCTCCAAAGTTTGCAACATTGTGATTGTTTCATTCCCATGAAGTGTCATGGAGTAGTTTTGCTCCGTAATTAAGCTTTGTAAATGTATAGGAGGTTTCTATGGACCTGTCCCAATACATGGATATCTAACTAGGGTATAGTAAAACGCTACTATCGAGATAATTCAAACTGATGTATCCTACAACTTTTTTCAAACCATTTCCACATATCTTAGTGAAAGACAATAAGCAGCATATTATAACACACAGTAGAAAGAAATTTATTACTATTCGGAAAATGCGCAACTTGTGCACGTTGCAACGTTCCACTTTAATGTCGCCACATAACTTCGCGACGAATAGAATCATAACATTCGCGAAAACAAGTAAAATTGAATCTTATAAATTGCTACAACTCATACCCACCGTTCGTAACGCAAAATCTAGACCTAGAAAAATATTTATAAGGCTGGAATACTCTCTCAGGCTATCTTTCTCCAAAATGGACGCTCAATAGTGCGCATGCGTAAATGTCTAAAGGACGGAAGTGTACAAAAGCATTAATATTCCCGGATTGTTAAATCCAATAAACTCGAATCGTGGGCAGATTATTTTTCAATTATAAATTAATACAAAAACAATTCTAACATATCATTCAGTAGTTTGGGAAGCAAAACCTTGTATACTCGTGGAATATTTAGTAGAAATCCATACTCATGCATTGCTTAAATCATAAAATATGACCAAGTTATATATAATATATATCTATACCCTGGTACCTGAACCCTGGGGTCATGAAATTTACAAATTTGGTACAATTCTCAATGCCTATCATAATCATACTGATATTTTACTTTCTTAATTTTTTTAAGTGAAGAAGAAGATTTTCTAAGACACATTTCATTGTCTAAACATATCCAACTTTCACCCACCCCAGAGTCTGAACCCTGCGGTCATGAATTTCACAATTTACGTAAAGAGCTCATTGCTTATTATAATTATGCTGATAGATTATCTGTTTGATGTCCATGAATGACCTGGTACACTCGATGTCTTCAAATTTAGGTACATTTTGAAAATTACCTTCTTTTTACTCTACTTTCTCTACTCTACCTTCGACTTTATCTTTTATGTTATACAACATTAGAGCCCCGCCCTTACACCAGAACCCCTGACCCAGGGACCATGAAATTCAATTTTGGAAGAGGCTCTCTTCCTCATCATATCTATGTACTTCATTCATCTGCTTCATACCCAGGAGCAGAGGAGAAGATTTTCAAAGAATTAATGCATTTTCACTATATAATCATAAGAGCCCCGCCCTAACACCAGAACCCCTGACCCAGGGACCATGAAATTCAATTTTGGAAGAGGCTCTCTTCCTCATCATATCTATGTATTTAATTCATCAGCTTAATACCCAGGAGCAGAGGAGAAGAATTTCAAAGAATTAATGCATTTTCACTATATAATCATAAGAGCCCCGCCCTAAAACCAGAACCCCTGACCCAAGGGCCATAAAATTTACAATTTTGGAAGAGGCAGTCTTGCTCTTCATAACTATGTATTTAGTTCATCGTCTTAATACCCAGGAGCAGAGGAGAAGAATTTCAAAGAATTGATGCATTTTCACTATATAATCATAAGAGCCCCGCCCTAACACCAAAACCCCGGACCCAAGGGCCATAAAATTCAAAATTTTTGAAGAGGCACTCTTCCTCATCATAACTATGTATTTAGTTCATCAGCTTAATATCCAGGAGCAGAGGAGAAGATTTTCAAAGAATTAATGCATTTTCACTATTTAATCATTAGAGCCCCGCCCTAACACCAGAACCCCTGACCCAGGGGCCATGAAATTCACAATTTTGGAAGAGGCAGTCTTGCTCTTCATAACTATGTATTTAGTTCATCATCTTATTACCCAGGAGCAGAGGAGAAGAATTTCAAAGAATTAATGCATTTTCACTATATAATCATAAGAGCCCCGCCCTAACACCAGAACCCCTGACCCAAGGGCCATAAAATTCACAATTTTTGAAGAGGCACTGTTCCTCATCATAACTATGTACTTAGTTCATCGGCTTAATATCCAGCAGCAGAGGAGAAGATTTTCAAAGAATTAATGCATTTTCACTATTTAATCATAAGAGCCCCGCCCTAACACCAGAACCCCTGACCCAGGGGCCATGAAATCCACAATTTTGGAAGAGGCAGTCTTGCTCATCATAACTATGTATTTAGTTCATCTTCTTAATACCCAGGAGCAGAGGAGAAGATTTTTTTAAGAATTAATGCATTTTTACTATATAATCATTAGAGCCCCGCCCTAGCACCAGAACCCCTGACCCTGGGGCCATGAATTTCACAATTTTGGTAGAGGGCTCAATGCTTATTACAATCATGCCAACAGTTTGACTGCTTGATGTCCAGGAGTAAAGAAGAAGATTTTTAAAGATTGCATTAATTTTGATGGTTTTAGCCCCACCCCTCAGGCCCCAGGTGGGCAGGGGCCATGAATTTCACAATTATTACTCCCCTTCACCCATAGATGCTATATGCCAAAATTGGTTGAAATTGGTTCAGTGGTTCCAGAGAAGAAGCTAAAAATGTTCAAAAGTTTACGACCGATTGACGACGAACGACGAACGACGAACGACGTACGACGAACGACGAACGACGACAGACAAAAACAGATAGCAATAGGTCACCTGAGTGACTCAGGTGACCTAAAAAAAACAAAAACAACAACAAACAAACAACAACAAAACAAAACAAAAATTTAAAATAAAAACCTGCAATTAAACAAAAATTAAAGTGCTTTAATCTAAGTTGCTAATTCATCTAAATCCACATTAACATATTGATCAAAAGCTCTCCAAAGCTTATGCTTTACGTTTTCATAAAACCGATTTAAAATAAGATTTCTGATCTGATCTGGCTTCCATAGATCTGTATTCACCTTCATATTTTGTAAAAAATAATAATTTTTTAAATCAAATTACTAATTTGTTATAACAAATTACTGATTTGTTATAACAAATTACTAATTTGTTATAACAAATTACTAATTTGTTATATCAAATTAATAATTTGTTATATCAAATTATTAATTTGTTATAACAAATTACTAATCTGTTATAACAAATTAATAATTTGTTATAACAAAATAATAATTTGTTATATCAAATTGATAATTTGTTATATCAAATTAGTAATTTGTTATAACAAATTAGTAATCTGTTTTAACAAATTGATAATTTATTATAACAAATTGATAATTTGTTATAACAAATTAGTAATTTGTTAAAACAAATTAATAAAAGATACTGCTGCGGCCCTATTACGCTTCCGTATAATGATCCTTCTTTGAGTATCAACATTGACTTTGACATATATGTATAGTTTTTCATAATGATATAATATTTAAAGTTAGTACTTTTTAAATGAAGAATAATGATGTGTACTTAAAAAAGTGGGCTTCATATTTTAGCGGCTTTGGCGCAGACAACGATGCGCTAATTTATGAATACCGCTAAGAAATCATCTATAACTACAATATACGCCACGGACATGTAAAGCGCTATTTCATGATTACACCAACAACTCCATACCCAGTGATTGCGCTAAATTTTGAATACGCCAATTTATATACACGTACAGTAATATCAAGAATTTTAAATTTTGTATTTAAAGTGACATTATTCATTTTTTGAATTACTGGTTATCTTGAATCGCAAGTGAATCATTTGTTTATTTCTGAAATTGAATGGAATGTAAGTTTTCATACTTTTAAACAAATCAAGAGAAATAGAAGAGGAAACAAAAACAAAACGAAATCCAATAAACAAAAGCAAACCAGTGTAACAAAACATATATAAAGAAAAAAGAAAAAAGAAAAAAAAAAGGAAAGAAACAAAGTCAACCGAAATTTGACTAAATCCTTGCCACAGAATTGCACACCAAAGGGAGGGTAGTAATGTGCATACAAAACTAGAAGCACAAGTCAAGGTTGGAAATTGTACACTTCTGATGCACCTGAAAAAATATTAACCGAATTCTCAAATAGCACTGCATAAATAAGCAAATGTCCTTGTAGTGTTGACCTGTTGACCTCAGGATACTTTCTTTGGTACCTTCCTGAAACAACGCAGTGTTAAATCACTACCCTTTCTCCAGTAATACAACACGTTTTTTTTGGAAGGGGGGCAACAATTTTTTTTTCTCAGAAACTTGGATTTAATAAAATTCCTCCTCGACTGCCGATTAACACTGCAGCAAGTATGAGATAAGTGTTAGATTACGAAAGGATTAAAAAACAACAACAAATGAGATTCGAGTACTGTACGTGTACATAAATTGGCGTATTCAAAATTTAGCGTAAATTTAGGGTATGGAGTTGTTGGCGAAATCATGAATTAGCGCTACACATGTCCGTGTCTTATATTGTGTTTATAAATGATTTCCTTGCGATATTCATGAATTAGCGCATCGTTGTCTGCGACAAAGCCGCTAAAATATGAAGCCCGCTTTTTTAAGTATACATACAGTATTTCAAATTTATAACATTTGATCCAATATCATAACATATTTAATAATACATGTTAAAGCATTATTCTTCTTTAACTTCAGAACAAAAATAACAAAGTTTAAATCACGTTGGTTATCTGTAAAAGTCTAGAGATGGGACTCAGCGCAAAGTAACTATAATGAGCAATTCTCAGTTGAGATCAAATTCCACAGGGTTTTCACATCTTGGCCTTCTGTCTTGTCTGTGTTTGTCGATTGGGACAGATAAAAATAGGCAGTTAGCTTCCTCACATGTTTCTCTTCGGAGACCCTCGGCGTTCGTTAAAGACCATCTACCACCATTAGAGTCACTTGGTCTAAAGTCTGGGAACGATCGTGATACACAGTCATTGTTATTTTTCCCTTTTGGGAGAAGTCGACTGGTGTTTAAAAAATCAGAAGATTTGTCTTTTTCAATGAAAGAGGACACAGTGTAAGAGTGGCGGGATCCCTTCCTCCACTTCATAATGGCCGACCTAGAATATACATAGCTCTCTCTATGACGGAGAGCGTATTTGTACCACGCCTTGCGGATTTCATGCAACACCTAAAAACAGAAAATGTATTTAATTCAAATAACAATCTGAAAAGCTTTAAATATATACACATTTGTCTTTCTAGTTGATCATTAATCATTATTTGTTAATAAGGCACATGTTAAAATTACTTAAAAGAAACAAGTTAAATGCAAAGGTTTGAAAATATTTGGACCCCTGTCTCGACTGTGATAAACTGAAAAGTATAGATATACACAAAGTTATGGTCGTATAATTTTTTCTGTAGATTCAGTGTTTCAAAAAATTAAAATTCGTTGGATTTTTCCATTGTTTCCTGATCTGACTCTATATCCTAAACTCTAGTATTATGTTTAGCTTGCATGATAAAACTGAATATCTGTTTACATTTATTAAAAATTCTTGGAAAAAATTCTAAATTCTTGAAAATTAATAAATTAAATCATCTAGACAAATTGTTATAAAAGCAGGACCAGTAATATGAGATAACAAAAAGTGAATGAGTCTAAAAGAACCAATTACTTGTACTTCCATGATCCAAAGAATATACAAGTCACCAAAAAACCATTGGTTGTAGGAAACGAACCAAAAATATTTTGATGACAATATTTTGATGATAGTACTTTATCAGTGAAGAATTTTATTTTGATATTATCCCCAGTCCCATTGTATGTTTTGCACGGAAAACCTACAAAATGTTATGAAGATTTATGTTTTATTTCTTGTAATATTTATAAAACTATTTTCAATTTAGTGTCCTTTTCAAAAAATATATCCATCTAATTATTTAATTATTTCTTATAAATATTACTCGGTAAATCTCTAAAACATCTAAATGTTTTATTAAGAATTCAGAATAAACAGAAAGTTATACTCACCTCTTCGTTAAGAAAACAGAACAAAACAGCTAGTATAAAGCCCTGAAAAAGAAGCAAGAATTTAATACATTGAAGCTGGAATTTTCTCTGCAAAAGTATTCCCTTGAAAGATTAGAAATTTCGAACAGCATGGATTTACAATTGTTAACATAAAATCTCTTAATTCTTCAAAATTTTACTTTCTAAGTGTGATCTTCCAGAGTGGAGGTGCGTTAACTCTGAAGGAATGCTACTTGAATAATTTTAAATCGAATTCCTCAATTTTAACGTTTGACTTAGAATATGTCCTTCAAGAATGGTTATATTTCAAATTATTTCCCTCGTTAAAATTCTTCTATGAAAGAAAGCATTATTTTAAAAAGCAAACAAAACAAAACGCAAGGAAAAGGCAATTTATATAGTTATTGTTTGAAAAAAAAACCCAGACCTATCCGTTTTGGATACTGACCTGGAAGGAGTTATAGAACATTTCTACATAAAGGTATGGGATGTCTCTGTCAACATCGATATCATTCCCAGAAAGGAAGGAAAAGACTATGTAACAGACCCCAAACAACGGGATCAGCACAACAATAAACTTAGCCATCTTCCTACAAAAATACAAAAACAATCAGAGTCACACTAAACTTAGCAAATTTCTTATAGCCTTTTAGAAAAAAGAATAAATCCCCGTCAGTAGGAAGAAAGAAAACCAGTGTTCAGAATAGACTACTTGGAGTGAACCTTTAATTTTTTTTTTAAAGGATTTAAAACTTTTAATGATCAAAGCTTTTCATCTATTTTCACTTTAAATAGTATGAAGTGTAAAGTACAGGAAAAATTAAGTTTGATTAACTTGATTATCGTTATAAAAATGGTTCTAGTAGCAAAAGGTTTTTAAAACTCATTTACTAGATTTTGATTTAAGTTGAAAGCTGAAGAAATCGTTAACTTAGAATTTATGAATAGTTTACATACATATCCTGTTCAAAAGTTGCTAAAATACTTTGAATGAGGAAATAGAATTATGTGGCATTTCATTTTTTTCATTTTTTCAGCGGATGTATTTAAATGAAAATGTCCTTATTACTGATTTTGTATGTACATGATATATAGCCAATGTATATTGGATATGGATTAAAACTCAAAAATGGATGAGGGCAATTGTGCACTCATACCAAAAAACAACAACAACAACCTCATTTTGCTCAGAATAAAGAGATGTGAGTCACCATACTCTGCAAAAAGGGATGTGAACACCCATTAATACCTTAACTTTACAAAGTAAAGTTTGCTTATCATACAGTCACAGATATGCTGTTATATTTTCAAGAAAGCCTTCCTTGACATCCCCTCTAACACTCTAATTATTATATGATAGCTTTTCATTGGCTTACCTCACCTTCCTCGCCCCAGACACACGCTGATTTTTCTGAACTCTTATGAATAGGACTTTCACAATGTCAAGAAAAAATATGAAGTTGATCTGGAAATTAGATTTAAAAATACTTAAATGTAATTATTGCACGTAAACTTTAATCTTATTTATATTGTTCACTTTCGTATGCTAAGGAAAATCTTGCTTCAGTTTGATTAAAAATGAAATAAATCTCATTATGGTATTGTTCATTGTGTAAATTATATTAATACACTGGGGGTATCGAAACAAACTCAGCCAATAACGTGAAGGAAATGTTGTGTATCATTTTATTAAAATACACACTTTTCTATATTCTTTCCATGGTTGCACAAAAGGCAATTGAAGTGAGAGAAGTTAATGATACAATATACATACTATGTAGATTGCAAAGAGGGGTCCACGTAAAATCCAAAGGTATTCCGGTGATGGATTCGTGTTCCAACAGCTGTAAAAAGTCTATTTGATAAATTATAAATTATACTCCACAGAGCAAATCTATCTATTGACAATCTTAAGTTTACAAAAATGTTACAGAGAACATCTAAGGTCCCTTATAGTAGATTCAATTGTTTAGATATTGTCTGATGCAAAATGTTGTCCAATCTGCAATGTGGAACAAATAAAGTTCAGATAAGATAAATTTACTTCGATAAAAGCATATTCGATAACCTTCCTTTATGGTTACTCTATCGTCCATTAAGATATAATGGCATATAACCAACTACTTTCTCAACTAGATGCAATCAGCCTCTGTAATATTTTGATTTCTGATCAGACTTACAAAAAGTCCTCGAGTTTAGCTCTGATGATGACCCAAGGTACAACAAATGAAAGGGGTCCCACTGAAAAGGAAATGTAATAAAATCCTTTACTTACTGGTGAATCTAATTATAAGTGCCAGTTAAAGAATATCAAGAGGTTAGTGATAACATGACAACATATCTTCATATTAACTACAAATTCCCAAAGCACGTCTATTTCACAATTTATATCTAGCTTTCTTCAAATAATAGAAAATATCAAAATCTTAATTCGTTTTATGTAGAGGAATTTATAATTTGCATATTTATACAGTTTAAGCCTCCACTTTTAACTTACACCATCCAAATACGACATACAGCTGAACTCCATGCTTTTCTGTAAACATGGTTTTATAAACCATCATGTACAAATATAGAGCCTCCATAAATATCCACATGGCACAGGCTGATATGGTGTAAACAAACAGAGTGAAAAGGAGCTTACATTCCCAATGCTACAAAACAAAAGGACAATAATTAAAGTCCAATTTACATATAATGCTATCACAGCTAATCAACATACACTTCGGTGTCCTGGCTTTGTTTTGGTTTTTCAATTTTCTATCTCTGCATAGATATATTCTTGAATTACTTTACTATAAAGGTAATTGATAGTTGTAGAAATTACCACAAGTAACTTACTGTATCGCCATCGCGGAAGCGTAGGACCCCACTGACCTCTTCTAAATCTTTTTTTAGACCCAGACCGTCCAAAAACAGAGTTTCTTTTAAAAAGGACATGAATGCCCTCAAAATAAAAGCAATGAACAAGTTGATGTGTAGTGTGTTGCTCTTGGATGAAAGTTTTCTGTAAAAATAACTAACTTTTATTACTAGAATAAACTAGAAGCAGCGGCGCACGGCCGTCCCCCTCGACGGAGGCAGACGTCCCAGTTTTGCTTTACGAGTATATAAAATGTTTTGCTTAAGATACACTCTGTATAAATTAATGAATTATTACCGACAAATAGAAATACAAAATATTATTTTTCTGTTGTCATGGCATGGATAATTCAGACAAAAAATTGCCAGTTGTTTCTTACAAACTAATTTTTAAGTATTTCATGCTAATTGAAGGAAATTAAAGTTGAAGATTTCTTTAATTCTTATGTATTTGACAAAAATACTGTAAACCAAGTGTTATTCGCGCAAGAGAAATATCTGCGAGTTTCGCTGCCTTCTTTCACTTGCAAATATTTATTGCCGCGAACTAAAACGAACTATATTTATTTCGTTGTGTATGTATGTTGGGTGACTCCCCAGTTGCGTAAATAGTTCGTCGCGGATAAATTTCAAACTGACAAATCGGAATAAAAGGTGTCGTTGATAATCTTTGCTTTGCAATATAACATGTATATTCATATAAATGTGCGTACATGCTTTATATTCAACGTCTGACATTTTAGAAATTAATGAGGAATGTGAAACTAGAGCTTTTTCCTACTATTAAAGAACAGTTTAAAAAGAACCATCTATGCAATTTGACGTTAATGACTAAAACAATTATATTTAATATCCTGCTTCAATTGCTATGTTTATCATATGTCACAAAGTACTTTGGAAACGATAACAATGATAGCGAATTCATTAAATTGCTTAATTTACAACACCATCTAGTTTCCACGCAAAAAAACCCCCCGTAAAAGTAATTGTTGATAGGATGGCGAAATTTACATATTGATGTCGATGAGCCCATAACGTGGCTATAACATTAGATTAAATTCACAGAGGTCAAGGATATAAAATCTTTACCTGCAGCATAACATAATAAACACGGCAATAACCAGAGAACATAAGGAGACTCCGTATCCGATGTTATACATAAGTCTGATCCGTGACAGATGGTCCTGTAACGACAAATCATGTAAATCATGTGCGAACATAAAAGGTGTGAACAATTATTGAATTCTATTAAGTAATTCTTAAGAAGGGTATGCATTTAGGAAATTATAGATAGGAATCCGTCAATATTAACTACTTAAAAGCATATGAAAAAAGAATTATGTTACCATATAAGCCATTGTTGAGTACATTGTTGCCTTTCTTTAGTTCTTTAGAGATAGACACATTTAATGGGGACTTGGTTCAGAAGGACAGAAAAACGGACGGGGTGGTTTTCTTAGAAGAAGAATGGAGGAAAAAAAAGACGGAAATCGGTCTCATAAATGCCGTAAAGAATACAAACTGGGAAAAGGGCAAAAACACGGACTCCTTAAAACACTAGATATAGGATCAGGTGCCTAGAAGAAGTAAGCGAACCCTGCCTACTACAGCCGCCTCGAGTGATCTGTATTGATCAGGTAAAGGAAGTAATCAGTAATCAAAATTAATGTAGAAATAATGGCCTAACAGTTGATAGGAAACATTTAAGTCAAAATACGACCCCAACGATAAATTATTTTAAACTGTTCATAGAATTTGTAAAATACTGACATTAAACGAGATAGTTGAAAGCCCTGTAACATCATCTTATTTGTAAGCCACTGCCTGCTCCAGTTAAAAAAAATCCTTCTGAGAAGATAACATGCTCCTGTGTATCAAATCAGCTAGGAGACATAGTGGAAATTAAAGATGGAATTCATCCTGTCAAAACTCTAATTTAGTTGTTAGTCTGTCATTTACACCAATAGTCAAATATCCAAGTATGAAACATAAATGGTAGACTCTTTTGTGTCTTTTATCTCGAGGTCTGTTGGATATATCGAGTCCATGGATCAAATTATTTGGTAAACTCCTTGATGTCTTTTACCCCTGGGTTTGTTGGATGCATTGGTGGTAAACGGGAACAAAGTTTGTGAGATAGAAAAAAATAGAAAACATTGTACTGAGATATGTATAATGGGGAAAAACTGCTTGATTAGACGTTTCCGGTTAAAATTTAAAATCTGTACATTGGATATATAAATGAAACAAAGGGAAAGAAACCTACAAGTAGATCATTAGAATAAATATCTTTCTTGTTCTTTACGCAGTCGCTGAAGTCTGTCCAGCTGACATTACGTCTAGGAGGGATGTACCACGTACCATTCTCTAAACATTGTCTTTTGGCGAAACCTGTGGAGCAGATGCAAAATTAAGTCACTTTGATAAGTCTCTGTATATATGAAATTATTATAGTCAAAATGTCTATAACGGTCAAACAAATATATCTATTTGGTTCGTTACAATAATTATTGAATTAAATCGAACAATTCATGTAAAAAAAGTTGAAATAAAAATAATTTCATTGTACATGTTTTGAATTATTAAACGTAGAGCTGCTTTAAAATGTGCTTAAGGATAACATTTACGCAGACGAAACTCCACTGATAGGAATGAAAATCGCCTACTGTGCATTGTAGACCAAAGAATGCCTCTCTATTATACACTTTCACACAATTAGGTCAATAAGTATTTCTCAGAAACCTCTCCCCCCATAAAAACATAAACTTTTAAACAATGACAAATACTTTTGAAAATACAAAACTCTTCGGATAAGTATATAATGAAGATAAGGATAGTGTTTCTAAAATAGATGAACATTTAAAGTTTAATCCGTAAACTTTTTAAATGCCTCTGCTGATTTTCTAAATTCTTCCTTTTAATCTGATTTTATAAAAATCTGAATAAAATATGAAGATGAGCTTTTATCTTAATAAACTGTCACGGATTCCTGAAAATAACAGATGGGATCAGGTGCCTTGGAGGACTTAATAATCGATGTTGACGGGTTGCCGCCTTCAGCTCTTTTTTCTTGATTGAAAAGACAGATAGATCCGTAGTCAATTCAGTATGGAAATAATAGCCTAAAAATTTGTATTAAAAAGTCAGTCTGCATTCGAATAATGACAGGTTGCAATTGCAAACAAGGTCATTGTATTGACCATAAAATTTTATGAATCGTTGACCTAAAGTAGGGCATTGATACCTTTAACTTATATGTAAGAAGCCTGCCTCGGTTTTGAAATTGATTTTACACAGAACATGCTCTTGCATATCGAATCAACTGGGAGACATTAACACCATATGCAGATGATAATGGTATAAGGGAAGTTGACGATAGCAAAGTTGAATTCATCATGTTTATCATAAAGTTTAGTTGTTAGTCTAAAATACTTATATGCCTTTTAAGTAAAATATTTGTTAGACTCTGTGTTGTCTTTTATTTCAAGATCTGTAGAATATATTAAATCAACGGAAAAAATGAAGAAAAATTAATATCATTAATTTATATCATTGCGGCGGTGTTTTTCCTTTGATGTCCACTGTTTTTATTTTTGATACATCATGACTAACTGTACTCTAACAACCATGCTCTATCAAGATAGAACACGCCAGGGTAATGATACAACAATTCCAATGATCCTTGACCTTACATTGATAAAGAATATAAACAAAGTAGCTGACTTTATAAGCAAAATACAAGCACATATAAACATAGTGAAGGTATACCTTTCCTTAGGTCTACATAAAAAATTCTAAATTTTGCACGTCAATTTTTAAATCCAAAATGAAATTCACGCAAGCTCATTTTTATAAATGAATGTTTTCGTCCCTCATAAACTTGAAGTGTAACAAACCGCACACAATGTAGTACAGGGAGCGAGGTGGAAATTCCTTGTTTTCTAATTCCAACACAAATCGCTGCATCCAGTAATTTAGAGAATCGCTGTTCATCTCGGTCAAAAGTGGACATTTTCCCGTGCCGCACGCCACTCCTTAGCTTGAACGTTACGAGTGTTAGGATATTTTTTGAGAGTCTATCAAACGCTGAATTTCATAATCGAACACTTGTACAAGCCTTTCATTTTTCGTCTTCGTGTCGACCTCAGGACTGGTGAAATTAACGCACTCAACTCAGTCTCCATCATGTCTAAAATATCTCCTATATCGAAATCCATAATATGTTCAATTTTTAGTTCCGGTAGATCAAACGTCATACTTCCCAAAGAATCTTCAACCTACATCTGGTTTCCTAACTGATCTAAGGAATTTTCCTTCATAATTTCGGTTTCCTTGTCTATAAGAATTGTGAAAGCATAAAATCACAACCGTCATCTATGGCGTTCAGAATATGAATGGACGAGGTAGAAAAGTCAAGAAATACAGCGCGCTATACTTTTCGAATCACGTGCTCTTTTTTCATTGGTTATATATAAAATGCTATGATGAAATTTTGATAGATCATGGTTAATTCAGTGCATGAGAATATGTAGTTGAATTACGTGCTATTAAAGTGAAATTGATAGATCATGGGTAGCTCAATACTTGAGAACAATGATACAAAACATATAGAGTACCTTTTAACTCGTGAATCTTCAGATATCAGACTCGGGGGACAAGCCCCCTCGTCTGATATCTGAAGATACACTCGTTAAAAATTCTCTATATATTACTGATAAAACTTCATCGATTTATCGCTATGTCGATAGAAGGCCACAACAAGAGATTTTTTCGTTCTAGACGTTTTTAAATGAATTCTGCTTCATAAAAAATACAAAAAGAAGTCTGCTAATAAAGCAATAGGATTAGTACCGATGGGAATTCCAATAGCTTCTTGGTACAATTTCTAAAACGAGGTAAATTATTGACAAATAAGTTGATGAAACAAGAATATCAGCTGTCTCGTTTAAAGTCATCATTTCGTAAGTTCTTTGGTCGATACAATGACCTTGTCAGCAAATACAATTTATCATTGAGTCAAATGCTGACTGACATTTTTCATACTAATTGTTAGGCCATTATTTACACACTGAATTGTCGACGGATTTTTCCATTATTTCCCGATCATGACAAGGAGCACACGGCGGGTGTGACCGGTCGGCAGGGGATGCTCACTCCTCCATGGCACCTGATCCCACCTCTGATGTTTGGAGGTCCGTGTTTGCTCTGCTCCTATTTTGTATTGTATAATGGACTTTTGAGCTTGAATACTGTTCGTTATCTCCATATATTTCATTCTTGGTAAACTATTGATGGCCTCAGTTTATGTATATTGCACTTGTTTTGTTGGTGTTAAATTAATATGAAGTCAATTATCAAATTTGTAATAAATGTTCATCGATATTTTGGATTTTTTTCATTGCATGCCATTCCTTCATTTAATATTACCTAGGTCTTAATACATATAATATTTGCAAAATTGTACGTAAAAGACATAAAAACGTAAACGTTCGGAATAATATTGTAAGAAAAACAAATGTTAAAATTGAAAAAAAAACTATTTAGTCCGAAATTCCTCTGTATTACTATTATCTATCTTCGACCTTGCATGTTTTCTTAAAAAATTTAAACCTTAAATCTTGATACTGATAGTGATCCTCTACATGGTTATTTTGTCTAGTTAGGAAATTTTGGACTTTATATATTGTACTTAACTGCAATCCATTTCTGTCAACTAAAACCCAGAATAAACGTCACTATAGAAGGAAAAGGGGTTAATTTTTCATACTGTTTATTTAATAACGCTATATAAAGTATTTATTCTATCATACTATTTAAATTAGATTTTCCTGCTGTTGAAATTTACCAAAAGTAGAGGGAGAAGGTCTATTAAGCTTCATAGAGTAGCATTAGATTTGGTGATCCGCGATTACCGGAACATTTATTTAAGAATCTTACAAAATACCAAATTAATGTTTACAACAATTTCCAGGCAATATTAGATCAGGCCAGGTTAATGACTCCTCATATTCAGGCAAATAAATTGATGTTACAGGCCTTTCATCTACATGGATCTTGCTTAAAATCAACATTTCTCAAATTCTAGGTCCTTCTACTGACTTTGTATGCCTGCACAACCTTGGTTGGTCGTAGAATGACTGAATTATTTCCGACCAATCGTTATATAATTTTTTTTCTTTACCAATTTATCTGATCAATACAGAGAGCTTTCAGGAGAGTGAGCTGTCGACAAGGGATGTTTACTCCTCCTAGTAGGCACTTGATCCCATCTTTGATGGTTCAAGGGACCCGTGTTTTTGCTCTTTTTACGATTTATTGGATTTATGAAATTGAACTATTCGTTATCTTCACCATTTATATATTTCTACCGTAAGATTTGGCAATGTTTTGTACGAACCGTACGCATTAAGGTCCTATTTATAGGCAAAGCAATGTTTAATAAATACCTCATGTTATAAAGCACAAACAATTCCATGGTTATATTGTGTATAAAATCCTCTATGTAGACAGGACATTGTTTTATAGGACGGGCAATGTTTTATACATACCGTCTGTATTAAGGCCCTTTATGTAGACAGATCAATGCTATATATATATACTGTCCGTATAAAGGCCCTCTATGTAGAGAGGGCAATGTTTTATACATACCGTCTGTATTTAGGCCCTCTATGTAAGACGGGCAATGTTTTATACATACCGTCTGTATAAAGGCCCTCCATATAGGACGGGCAATGTTTTATACATACCGTCTGTATTAAGGCCCTCCATATAGGACGGGCAATGTTTCATACATACCGTCTGTATAAAGGTCCTCCATATAGGACGGGCAATGTTTTATACATACCGTCTGTATTAAGGCCCTCTATATAGGACAGGCAATGTTTTATACATACCGTCTGTATTAAGGCCCTCTATATAGGACAGGCAATGTTTTATACATACCGTCTGTGTTAAGGCCCTCTATATAGGACAGGCAATGTTTTATATATACCATCTGTATAAAGCCCCTCCATATAGGACGGGCAATGTTTTATACATACCGTCTGTATTAAGGCCTTCTATATAGGACGGGCAATGTTTCCTCGCTACTGTCCCTGCTAGAGTTGCTTCCCAGCACATAATTTGATCCCAGATAGGTTCACAATATAAACCTGAAATAGTTGTATTATTTTTTAGGTTAAAAAAATACAAACAAATCACACTTAAGACTTATCAATCTTTAAAAATGAAGTACATGTACATGTATTTCGCAATCAGAACTGCTACATGGCATCCTATCTTTAAGATAATAATTATGAAAACCCGTATATTAGAGAGAAGAAATTTAATCTAAAATTTTGTACTAATCCCATTGCATAAAAAAATTAAAATGAATCCAAAAAGTATATTTTGGACACGGTGACTCACGGAAATACTGCTTGTCTAGGGTGCACAGTTGTAAAGAGTAGAGCTGAAGCGGTTTGATATCCTCCGACATACTTGTGTTTTAATACATTAAAGAATACACAGTTCAATCACTGACAGTTAATGTTTAAAAACCACAACTTGGACCGAGGGACCACAAATTCTGATCCATCGATTTCCCCCCAGTCTGAGATGAAACCATAATCAAACGATATCCATTTACACTTAATATATATGTGTGACTGAGCGGTTCATTTTCTCCTTCTGATGAACGGGAAACTATCATTGTCAACAATTAATATTTATAGTGCGTGAATGCCTATAGATAATAATTATCACATGACAAGCAAGCGTATCTTTAAAAAAAAAAATAATATTAGGATTGGAATAATCACAGTAGTTCAGTGGTGAACACATTATCATATTTAAAGACAAAATGAATGAGGTCTAGTAATTATTTTTACTTTTAAATGTGTACATGGTGTTTATAATTTAAAACAAGTAACAACATTTTATCGCAGAAATGAAATTTAGGTAAATATAATTGTCGTTGGTGTGTCAGTTTTATTGTTACTATAAGAAATATTTATTACATTACACATTAGCATATTGAATTAATTTTCACATTGTAAATGATTACGACCTGCAAAATTGGAGAGAAAGTGTACAGTCATTTGTACAATACATTGGTGATATAAAAACCCACAATCTATGAAATATAAAAATCATATGAAAATATATAAATACAAAATATAAAAAAACCTATTTTATTGGTTAAGGTTATTGTGTGAAATCGGGGTCTATGTAAGGTTTTATATATAAAAAAGTCCATGGTCCTCATATGACCAATTAACGTATCAAAACTGCTATGCAGAACAAAATGTACTAATTGTACACAAATATTTCTGTAGTCAATTATATTTTACATCTTTAATGAATTCAAGTTTTTGGGACATTTAACTTTACTAGAGAAGTTGAAAACGACAAAGTTAGACGACCTCATATTCATAATATCTGTCCTTACAATGCATCAATTTATAGATTTGGGAATGACAATATATATTTTGTGAACTTTCAGGGATAATAAAAAAAGTTGCTAAAGAAAATGATGAAAACTGTAAATATATTCCTATTAAAATGCACTTTTTTTAATTATTGACAGTCAGTGCTTTAAAGGGAGGATAATAAATTAAAAATACATGTAAATATTAAATGGGGTTTAATTGACTTCCAAATCCTCTGTTGGATGAGATATTATACAATTCTATGAGGTTTTACATCACAATGAAAATAACAACAGATTCTGCTTTTAGATGAGACATTGTAGCATTCAATGTTGTTTTACATCACATTTTAACTGACAACAGATGCTGCTGTTATATAAGACATTGTAGCATTCAATGTTGTTTTAATTTGCTTCACATTTTAACTGACAACAGATACTGCTTTTAGATGAGAAATTGTAGCATTCAATATTGTTTTATATCACATTGTAACTGACAACTGAACCTACTGCTAGAGGAGACATTGTAACTTTCGATGTTATCGTACGTTTCATTGTAACTGACAACAGAATTTAATTATTTATTAGATATTGTAGTGTTCTATGATGTTTGACATTGTAACTGACAACTGAACCTACCGTTAGATGAAATATTGTAGCTTTTTATCATGTTTCTGCAGCTATTGTTAGCAATGTCCATCTTCTCCATTTGCTCATACTTCTTTCTTGAAGTCTGTAAAAATATAATTCATAGGTGTAAAATTACGCAAATTCACAACAAGCTCGCTACGTGATTTATGTATTTCGCTATGATTAAGATATTCATGCGTTTAACAAGATACAAACATTAAATTGTAAACAGTTGATAAAACCTACGTTTGGAAGAAAAGTAAATACACGACTAGATCCCCATTTCTTATCCATTTTTTGTTTAAAGAACCGAACAAAGATATCAAGTTTCTTTTCCAGTATATAATCCTTTATATTATTCCTTGGTCCTTCGGATGAGACCGTATAAACCGAGGTCCCGTGCTGGCACGAAAATGATCCCTCACTGCTCGATGACCCTAAGTGCCGAGTAAAGATCTAAATTTGCAGCCCTCCACCGGCAAGTGTAGGCGTCTCAATATGAGTGAAAAATTCTCAAAAGAGACGTTAAACAAACGAAAAAAATCTACATTATTCCTAATATTTAATCCTGGCTGGATGACTGAATGACATACTGAAGATGTATAACGTGGAAAGTATACGGAACCTTCAGTTTTTTCTCGAAATAGCAAGACTCAGATCTGACAATGGCAATAAGGCATAGAACAGACCCTATCATTCAATTTACACATTTGATCCAAATGAAAAAAATGATTAAAATCTCATGTTTCAGAGATATCAACATAAAAATCATTTAATTTCGAAAAAAAAGAAAAAAAGAAAAAGATTTTATCATAAACATAAAAATATTTTTAAAGCAGAAAAAAGCTAAAGCTTATATCAACAAATAATTTGAAAAAAGATACAGATCACATATCATGCATTCCAGAAATCATATAATAATGTCAATAGATATATTATGTATTTTCTTCCGAGGAAAGAAGAGAGATGAGCGTGTGACAGGTATGAACTGTAATATAAGCTTCACACCATGTTCCTTTCCAACACAAGGTACATGGAAATCAGAATGAATGCCTCATTAACCGACTTTAAACGGTGCATTTGTCAGTATCATTAAGAAAAAAAATAAGGTTCATTGTCTCTTTTAAAAAAAAAAAGAGGGATAACTCTCACTGGAAAAAGGACGACCAAAAAAAAAAAAAAAAAAAAAAAAAAAAAAAAATTGACAAGTTTCGAGGCTTTTTTGTCAAATTAAGCTGAGAATCTTTTTATTTTAATTTCATTTTATTCATCACTTAAACTAAACCTCGAACGTCTTTAGCATTAAAGCATAATTATATATGAGTTGACAGAGGGATAAGGAACTTTATATACCTGACACATACCGTATATACTCGCCTATAAGTCAGTCCACCTATAAGTCGGTTGTATTTTTTGAAGTTATTTTGGAGGGATTAGCCATTGACCCGCTTATAAGTCGGTACAACATTTTGCCAGAATAGGTTGACAATTTTATATTTATGCACTTTTAACCTGGTTTCAATTAATATTTTTCGAAATGACGCCAATATTTAATTTTAAATCATTAAACAAATAAGTAATGCACTCTTAAGATAGAAACAAAACCATTAAAATAAGCAAATACTTGTATTTTATGTATAATCTTTGTATGCATAAATGATTATATATATCCAGACTTTGTTCTTCAATAATCATCGGAAATATATATAAAAAAAAACTACATTTCACCGTCCAGAAAAATACCAGTCTTTTTATGACTCGCCTATAAGTCGCATATAGAGATTTGGACCAAAATTTAACTCCCAAAAAAACCGACTTATAGGCGAGTATATACGGTACACATTTCTACGTAATCTAAGCTGTGAAGTAATCCATTTCATTAATTTGAAATTCAATATCATGAAAACCTTGGATTTACAGGGAATATATTTTTTAGGAAATTTATTTAATTCTAAATTTATTACAGAACAATGGTTCAGAACAGATTTACTTAATAATTCAAAGAATCCAAAGTCCTTAAAGTAAGCCATTTTGTAAGTAAATGAGTTTAATAATCAGGGACCAAAATTTAAGAATAAAGGAAGAAACAAGCTGGCAATATGTTATCAGTGTTAACTGATAAATCAAAGAAAAATATTTTCCTCTCTTATTCAATGGTCTTACCCTTTTTTGATTTTGAATCAATTGTGTCTCGTTATAGATTTTTGCCAGATATTTCATAGTAAGAAATAGTTCTAACATAAGAAGATTTGAAAAAATAAGTAATATTCCTTCAAAATGATTATTATTTGAGGAAGTTAGTTTAACCTTAAATCAATTTCATTTAAATCATGAAATATGTGGAGAAAACGAACAGTATTCAAGCTCAAAAGTCCATTGAAACAATACAAATCGGGAGCAGAGCAAACACGGACCTCTAAAATATATCAAAGGTGGGTTCAGGTACCATGGAGGAGTGAGCATTCCCTGCCGACCGGTCACACCCGCCGTGTTTTCCTTGTCATGATCGGGAAATAACGGAAAAATCCGTCGACAATTCAGTGTTGTCAATGATTCTTATCCTTAATGTCCACAAAAAATGACCTTGACTAAACCTTCTAAAATAATGCGATCAAATTTAATTTGATTGATCACAGCATTTCGAGATACTGTCCTCTTGAATCTGTGAAAAGTTTGTTTTTAATATAAGAAGAATTCATCCTTGAATTGATCCAACATTTTTCATCCACGTTGTGTGCTTCACCTAGGTCAATATCAAACAATATTTACCACCAATAAAGTCCATAATTGTATAATATTCAATATTTTATAGTGTATTGGTTGGGTAATTGTAAGATGACCATATTAGTGAGTTTTGATGTAGCATATGCCTCGAAAACATTTTTAATTTGTTACCTGGGTGGATTTTCTTAATTTTTCCATAAGAATTGAATTCTTTTGAGACTTTAGAAATTGCTTCAAAATTGAAGATGCGTGTCCTACCTTCCTTAGTTTGTCAAGAAAAGGCACAATAATCAGGGAACAATTCTAAAAGCTGTAGCCAAGCTTAATAACTATAATTGAAAGTTCAAGATATAACAAATAAAAAAAGTGTTATGTGACCTATACACAACTTTCACTCCCTCACTCCCATTTAATCAATGAAAAGGGATGTTTAATATGCAGCTACTCTTAAAACATTTTCAACTTGACATTATATGCATTTTCCTTAAATAATATATATATAAAATGATAAGGAATGCCATTTTTTCTTTTAGAAGGAAGAGTTAAGTCAGTTGACAAGTTAACGTGGCGAGAGGAACCGAATACATCTCTGCCTTGTACCAGGATCAGCTTGACATACCAACTGGTATGGGACCAGGTGTCAAGACTTGACACTGTTGACTCTGGTAAGACAGTGGTACAATCAGTGGGACAGTGATAAAAAATATTCAGGGTCTGAGCTTCACTTCAATCTGTGGTTGATTTTATAATAATAGTTCATGATGCTTTCCACCCAGAATGAATAATTTTGAATAAGTGTGTCAAGGGTTAATCGAATTACTGTAACTGAGTACAAAATTTGTTATGGGTTTGTCTTGTATATTTACTGAGTAATACAATTAATACAAATTTCTTGTAATGTTTTGTTTCTTTGTTCTACCTCTTATAAAAGCTGTATAGTGATGTTTTGACATGCGACTGGTCTCAATTAGAAGTATTTTTCATTTATATTAAGACTTTATGATTGACAATTACATCCGATGTTTGTTGTTTATTATCGTACATTCTTAAAATTGAAGTGCATTTATAGATGGCAAAAATGTCGAACGAAATATAGTTCTTTATTGCATAGCTTCTTGATTCACAAATCATTTCATATTTGAAATAACAGAAAAAAATACCTTCATTAAACAGGAAAAATCTAAAACTAAGACAATTATTGAGCAGTTTCTCTCTGAAGAACCTCTGCTCATATGTAAGTTGCATTTTACATGAATTTTTCAAAGTCCCAATAAATATAATTTTTTATTGTTTTTCTTAAAAATACAGAGATCTAAAGTAAAATTGGGGTTGTTTTTTCTTCGTCTGAGTTAACCGTACAAATATAAAGGAAAAAATTTAAGGTTCATGCGTAATCCACAAAAATGAGGACAAGTCAGGAGTCGCGACATGACAAAACCCTAAGGCAAACCCTACGTTGAGAGTAACCCTAGCCCAAGCCTTAACACTTAACGCAACCCTGACACCCTAACCCTTACACCAGTCCTAACCCTAACACTGACCCAAACCCATACGTCGTACACCATATCCTTACTCGTGTCCTAGCCCTAACCCTAACCCCGGGGTTAGCGTTAGGGTTTGATTCTAGAAATTCTAAGGTTATCACAATGTGTTTTATCATTATTAAGCATCGTTGGACAAAATTTCTTAACATTTGAACAGGGATGGGGTCAATTACATAGGAAAGTAATTAATTAAATTACAATTACTTACCCAAAACTTCAATTAAATTACCATTACCATTACAAGGATTTTGAAATGTAATTAATTAAATTACAATTTCTTTGCAAATGTAATTAATTAAATTACAAATTACATTAAGAAAAACTTACAAAAATAAACAATGATAAATAGTCATGACGGTTCATTTATGTTCATATAGATTCAGTTAACATTATTTACATTAAGTAAACATTGTTTAGATGTTAATGAAATTTTTAAATGTTGTGTCCCCTAACCTACATCTATCAGGATTAAAGATTTTTCTGCAACAATGAAGATATTTTACACTGGGGCATTTGTGACAGGAATACATAAATACTAACTAATAGCAAGTTTCACGGCTAAATTAATCCTAAATTTTTGGTAATCGAAAAAGTGGCAAAATTGGGAAATGTTGTTGACTTATTTATTTGTTGATTAAAGTGTTAAATAGTGGACTTGTTCCCCATATATACATGATATATATCTTTAAAAATGATTAAAATTCCAAAACAGGTTATTTCTGTATATAAATAGCATCAAAAATTGAATTTGATCATCAGTTGGAAATTGTTACCTGAATTTTGGGAAAAAAGAACCAATTTTCAACTGGGACACAGTCCTTTTACAGGACCTGGA